TTGTTGAGATATTTCAGCCTGAATCACAGTGGTGAACTGATAGGCCGACACTGACATTACTAGAGGCTCAAAATCTATTTCCAACAATAAACACAAACCTCACCTGAGGCAGACTCTTCAGCAGACTCAGAGAAATGGCACCGGAGCCACATCCCACTTCCAAGCATGTGTGCTGGGCACCTGCACCCATTCCAGTCCTGGGCTCTGTCTCCAGATCAGCAAGCACGAGTTCAACTAACTCCTGCACCAACACACACAAATGTTATGTCTGATTGATCTTTGGGGATTTTATTGTACATTGTACGTACAGTCAGGTCCATAATTATTTGGACAATGATACAGTTGTCATCATTTTGGCTCTGTACACCACCACAATGGGTTTTAAATGAAACAATGAATACCTGCTTAAAGTGCAGACTCTCAGCTTTCATTTAAGGCTTTTTTTCAAAAATGTAGTATGAACCGTGTAGGAATGACAACCATTTCTTCACACAGTCCCCCAACTTTAAGGGCTCATGATCCAACGCACACCACCTCATCAGTGAAGCATGGTGGAGGTACTGTTATGTCATGGCCATGTATGGCTGCCAGTGGAACTGGTTCTCTTGTGTTTATTGATGATGTGACTGCTGACAAGAGCAGCAGGATGAAAGCTGAAGTGTTTGGGGCTACATCATCTGCTCAGATTCAACCAAATGCTTCAAAACTCATTGGACGATGCTTCACAGTGCAGTTGGACATTGACCTGAAGCATATTGCAAAAGCAACCAAAGACATTTTTAAGGCAAAGAAGTAGAATGTTCTGCAATGGTCAAGTCATATCATCTGACCTGAATCCAATTGAGCATGCGTTTCTCTTGCTGAAGCCAAAACTGAGGGCAAAACACCCAAAACACAAGCAGGAAGTGCAGACGGCTGCAGTAAAGGGCTGGCAGAGCATCACCAGGGAAGAAGCCCAGCATCTGATGATGCCTATGTGTCCAACACTTCAGTCAGTCATTGACTGTAAAGGATTTGCAATCAAGTATTAAAACTGACTGTTTAATTGATGATTATGTTAGTTTGTCCAAATACTTATGAGCCCTTAAAGTTGGGGGACTGTGTGAAGAAATGCTTGTTATTCCTACACGGTTCATACTACATTTTTGAAAAAAGCCTTAAATGAAAGCTGAGAGTCTGCACTTTAAGCAGGTATTCATTGTTTCATTTAAAACCCATTGTGGTGGTGTACAGAGCCAAAATGATGACAACTGTATCATTGTCTAAATAATTATGGACCTGACTGTATATGTGTGGCCTGTTTTTCTTCTCTTAAACCTCAGTTTCAGGTCTCGGTATGAACACAGGAGGTCTCATCTTCAGTGTCAGATCTCTGAAGTCCCACTCCTCAATCACATACTGCACAGGCATCCTGCACCCCACACACACACACACACACACACACACACACTCATGAGTATTCTCAGTAAAAAACATCTGGGTATTCACACAGAGGTGTCTGTAAACCTTCTACCTGGATAAGCGTCTAGAGCAGAGCTTCCACACCTGCTCTGTTTTTTCTTGGCTGAGAAACTCTGTTAACTTCCCCTGCTCGAGACTTTCTATCTGGATACAGAAACACCATAAAGAAGATGAACATGACATGCTATTAGATAAGAATGCAGCTATTCAGCAAATGCGTCAGAAAATGAAGAATGAGCTAAGAGAATTCCCTCTTACAGTTTTAGCCCCGAGCAGATGAGCAATGATGTATTGACTGGAGTGGTCCGGCTCCGTCACACCTCTCTCTTCAAAGTGTCTCCTCCATAAGTCCACTGCCTGGAGTGCTGTGATCCTGCCTGCAGGTAAGGCCGGAGCGCTGCATGTACGCACTGCATGGGGGCCCCAAATTCCCTAAAAGATTAAAAAGAGTTTCTAGTAACATTCCAACATGCATTTCACACTTGCTGGTTTATCCATGTGACTCCCCCTTAGGGTAATCCCCACTGCCACGCAAGTGACGCTGAGTCGAATTTGAAAATTTCAGATTGAACCTCGGACACCACTGATTGACGTATATCCAAGACACGTCTTTCCCGCAATTCACCAGCTTTCAGCTTCCTCTGCTCAGTGGAGGATCAAGTAATCTGTACTCTGAGTTATGTGAGATTAGATATACCTACACAAGTTGATACAATGTATAGTGGATTTCTGTAAGTGACAGGAAAACAAAGATAATATGTTTGAGTGAGCATACCAAATATCTGTGGCTGAGTGCTTCCTGTCATTACAAACAATATCTGCCACAACTCAAGCCAGCTCCTACCTTTCACGTTTCCATCACCTGACCTTCCCCGCCCACATACTCACCCTCTTTCCATTTCCCTAATCAGCCCAGCAGGATATGTAATGGCCCATCTCCACTCCTTCCCTGCCAGACTGTCTAGTTTTTTTTTTTACTTGATACCTTCCCCAAAGCCCAAAGATTATTATATGTTTTTTACAAAGTTCAACGTGCCACAATTCAAATCAGGTAATTTCCATTCATTTTCTGAATCAAGTAATGCAATTCCCCAGATTTACTTTGTTTGAGCCAATCTGACAGCACCAAGTCAAGTCGCTGGAGAGAACCATGAAGAACTAATGTTACACTGCTAAGTGACAGTTGGAAAAAATTATATAAAAGATAATTTCATTCACTTACAGAGACTACGTGGTGGTCAACATAAAATTAATTGCAGTATGTAAAATATGTGGGTTAAAAATTACAGATGGAGATGCAACAACTTCCAACAAACTTGTTTTAACAAATAAATACATATTTTAAAAAGCATTAGAAATTTAATTTATTATTACTCTGTTGGTAAAATGGTATTACATTTGGTGAAGAGTGATTTATGACATGTTTAGGACTTGAAACTCAAAGTTTAAACTTAAGACTTGACTTGGGAGTTGTCAGTGTTGACTTGAGATATGGCTCAGGATGTGGCCGCCTTGACTTGGGACCTGAGTGCAAAGATTTTACACTTACTTGAGACTAACAAAACAATGGCTTGGTTTCACCTGCTGTAGTTTGCATCCATCCTCACTTTCTAGCCTTTGTGTCTGCCTGCCTGACCATTTGCCAGATTGATGATGCTACGTTCAAGTCTTACCTGTTTCAACTGAGTACCTTGTTTGGACCATTGCCTGTTTTTGGAACTCGATGAAGAGAAGTTTCTTTGCAAGTCTTTGTCTACTTTTTGCTTCAAGTCGTTTGTATTTCTGAGCCACTACAATACCTCCAGTTTTGAGAGTTAGTGAACTAAATAATCCATTTTGAGATATATCATTGGGGTCCATAAACTTCAGGTGGACATTTGTAATTAGTTAATAAAGTGGGATTTACAGATTAATCAATAACGAAGTGTTAGTTGAAGCCCTACAGATGTAATTTTGGAGACACAGGGAGTCTTGACCCTCCTAATATTAGAAAAGGGGGACGATTAATGGCTGCCATACTTATTTCAAACATATTAGTTAAATATCATGATCACTCATCAGTGTAGTGCAATATCCTTTTCTCAGTCATGTGCAATACTACTTCTGATTGTTATATCATATTCAATATAACATTGATTATCAGGAACAGTCTGTTTTTTTCACCATTTTAGTTCATTTTTAGTAACTCTTGTACTTATCGTACTCTTTTTGTTACTCTGTTAGGCGCTGGTTCTTGCTTTTGCTCATTGAAAACATAATTCTAATACTCTATTTTTCTAAAATTGGGCCCAGTGAGTGACCCTGACCCAGGGAACCCGACAACTGGTTGTCTGGTTGGTGCTGGTTTTGAACATTAAATTGTGGTTACTGTACTTTGTGTTTCTGTAATTTGAAGCATTCTCTGACACAAGACTTTCCTTCGGGGTAAATTAAGTTGAATTGAACTGAACTGAATTCTACAGTTCACCAACTGAGTTATTGTGCTCATTAAAATGTTCAAACAGGGATTGATTCTAATACTACCTCACTGCATTGTGGATAAATAAACATCTATCCAGCTCTTATACGCACCCGTCAGCCCTTTACAGTTTTATCTTGGTGATGAAGTCAGGGATTGACAGCTCAATCTGTCAGTGTGATTATTTACCCAGATTTGATGAAGACTGCGTCTTTCCGAAGTTGAAATTAAATCTTTTAAATCCACTCAAATGTAGGCTAAGTGAACATCAATCATTAGGCTCAATAAAGATATAAACAAAGCAGTCTAGTTGTTAGTGGGGATCGTTATTTTTCATTTATCATTAATCAGCCAAGATATTGGGGGACATTTACTTTCATACTTTTCCCTACTTTATGTCTGGTGTAAAGTTAAAACTTGGTAAGGGGGTTATTTTCCAACAGCCTGCTTTACTCCACCGTGCTAAAGACAGATAGTATTCCAAGAGTACAACAACAAAAATCAATTTGACATGTTAATTACCTTTGGTCCAACACTCCTGCACCCAAAGCATCTGTAGCCTGCACTCAGAGATCTTCTCCACATTATTACTCTACACAAACACCTCCTTTACATCATAACTCTCTACGTTTTACAGGAACATATAGTTTGTGTATTCGCTGCATCCTTAAGGCATACTGTTGTCCTACATGTAAACCTAAATGGACATTAAACCACGTTTCTCTGGCCTGATGGCACGCTTCAAAACATTGTTGATAGTATTTCCTGTTATGCGGTGCACCTGCGCAGTACTGACCCCGGTGAACAGTGGTACCTTCAAGGACTGTCGAAAATATGAAACTTTTAACATGAAACACGCGAAATACCAAGCAAAATACAGTAATTAGCACGAAACTGGAGGATTTTATCACAGTTTTCACGTTGTATTAGCCGAGACAATGTAAATCACATGAATGGCTAATTGTTTTAAAAATAACACACATCCTCCGCGGTCTACGTAGAACTTACGAGAATATACGACGTCAGTTACGAGCGTTACAAATGTACGAGGGGCTCCTGAAGACATCAGTATTGTTGTTCCCCAGCCTGGTGAGCATGAATGTGTCGAGCATTGCAAAGTTGTTGGATAGTTTGCTGATAGTTTGACAGGCATTTTTGTCAAAGTACAGCGGTAACACATTTGTTTGGACGTTGTCCAGACGTTAGAGCTGCTAAGTGTATTTCACAGGAGGCTGCTAGCTTGTTTTTTAACGTTTAAACGTGATGCTAGCAGCTAGCTTGTGATGCTAAATAACAGTTGAGACAAGCCAGGGCAGACACACACACACACACTGACACAGGAGTCTGTCTGATACAGACACTGAATATTTAGTTAGATATCTGGGGTAAGATTGTCCTGATAACAAAGTCTATGATGGGCATGACCTCTCGAATAGAGTGTATATTTTTCAGTGAGTTTCATCCCACCCTGGGTCCAAAGATAACATATCAGGTAAGTGTGTACCTTTAATAAGGGTAGTAGTTAATTAGAATGACCACAGCTACCTCATTAATTACCAAACACTAGACCAACATGACATATATATCCTTATTGTGGTAGCTAAATTGTGGTAATCATATAACCTGGTATCAGAAACATAGAAAGTAAATTAATGTATTAAATTCTGTTTCTCATTATCTCAAGTATGAGAACACTTCATTCAAAACAGTATCAGAAGTTGCCATAAATCTTTGTGAATGCTTCCAGACTTACAGATTGTTCTAGGACAGTCTGTGCATCCTGAAAGGCAGGCGTGCCCAAACATTTTTGAAAGGGGGGCCAGCTGCTTCTCACATTATATAGATATTTTCAAAAAAAATGCATTTGAGACAAACACAACTGCTTCATCTCTCAGTGTAGTGAAAACGTATTTAACTTTAATCCACTCCTTAAAGCAGTGGCCCTCGCTGTTCTTTGCTGTGGCCATGTCTGCTACTGGGTAACAGCATATTTGCTTGTTCACAGTCTGTTTATGGAAACGCATTAGCTCTACCTTCTTGCAAAGTGATCTTGCTAGATTAACTAGTATTGTGCGGTCAGCCACATACAGTATATTTTGAAAGAGAAGGGCCACGGTTGTGCTTCTGGCCAGACTTTGGACATGTCACTTAAAGCTGTTGTGTGTAGGATTTAATGGTATCTAGTGAAGAGTTTGCAGAACTGAAACTTTGCTCAAGTACAAAGCAACTATGGTGACTAACCCAACAATGCAAATGGCCCTATCTAGAGCCAGTGTTATGTTTCACCTTCTGGGCTACTGTAGAACAACATGGCAGAATCTTTGGAAGGAGATCCGCTCCATATGTAGATATAAATCAGGCCCCCAGGAAGTGCACAGTGATTTGAAGCCAATTTTAGTGGCCAAACAGTGTTATTACATCATGTGATACGCTGTGGCTTAATAAGTATTTTTACCATTGACTTACATGGCAGAAGAGATGTCTGTAAATCTGTGGATACATTGTCTTGAGCGTTACAACCCCCAGAAAATGACTCATTTCACTGTCAGTGTTTGATTTGTTTTGTCTGATAACATTTGGAAAGTCAAGAACAGCCTCGTTTAAATCATTTTATCCCCATTCAAGTTAGTGGAGTGCTAAATGGCACGTAGTGGGCTAGGCCAGTGTCTGTAAAATGGCTGCTCTGTGCGCCACACGGTGCAGAAGCAGTGCTGATCATCTGGGTCATTTTAAACACTGGAGTTTACATTTTATTTGCTTCTCCAGCACTGTATCCAGTTCTCTCTATACATCCATGATATAAACGGCTTATTCTAAGGTAACAAAAGCAGAACGATTCTTATTTCCAGGTGATTATAACTAATGAAACCATAGCTATGAACATTAGATACCATCTCTGCTAATAGATGCCCCTAAATCCTACAAACTGGAACTTTGATGTAATTAAAGTTAGAATAATTTATCTTTATTAATGGTAAGCAGGTGTTTTATCCCTCTACATATTCTTGTGGTTTTGACCTTGGAAGTGAAAAGTATGTAACCTTCCCAGTGTATCTTATAGGATGTTTTTCACCACACAGTGTTCCCTGTGTCCTCTCCTGACAGGTCCCGGAGGAATACATTTCTCGGGAGCTCTTTGACACAGTTCAAGTTTATATTATCACCAAGCCAGAACTGCAAAACAAACTGATAACAGTGTATGTAATCTAATGCTTCCTCTCCTCGCCATAAGTCAGTCTTTTTGTCCTCCATTTATATCTGTGTTTGTCTTTATGTTGCTTCTTCTCAGTATCAAACTACTATAAGAGTCAGAATTCAGTTTAATGCCAAGTTGGTTTACAAGGAATTTGCTTTGGTTAATTGGTGCGTAACATAAGGATGAAAGCAAGTGTTGCAAAAATCAAGAAACATAAATAAATAATAGGAGAAAATTATAATAAAAATTTGAAAAAATGCTATAAAATTATGTACAATACATCTGAATTAATACACTCTTTATTTATTTTTAGCACTGCCATGGGCAAAAAGTTGATTGGCTGTCCTGTGTGCATTGAGCATAAAAAGTACAGCAGAAACGCCCTTCTGTTTAACCTTGGCCTTGTTTGTGACGCACAAACCAACACGTGTGCCCTTGAGCCGATTGTCAAGAAGCTGTCAGGGTACCTCACAACTCTGGAGGTAGTGAGTGATGTGTTTTTCCATCTGCACTTTGATGACGGCATAGTTCTTGGTAATTAGACTTCTCAGAGATGATCTTGAATGTTTTTGTCTCGTTGCAGCTGGAGAGTGGCTTCATATCCAATGAGGAGAGCAAGCAGAAACTCTTACCCATCATGTCGACCTTGTTAGAGGAACTTAATGCCACGGGAGCCTGCTCCTTACCCATAGGTATTATTTTATATTGTCTCTTATACTGTCTCTTTAAAGAGGAACTACGTCCATTTATTTTTCAATTCATACATGTTATTCCTGTGGTCTGACACTGCCCAAAAATATTAGTAAACATGAACAACTCTCTCTTAAATCCAAAACCTAGAGTGCTAAATCATACTCCCATTCATTGTCTACGGATCAGCTCCAGACTTTATACTTTATGACGTCACAAATTTGGGACTAAGGCTATGTACACATTACAAACAAATGTGGCTAAAATATGGTTTATTTGTTCTCATGTGACACAGATCTGATTTTTTCAGAGTAGTGTGGACACAGAGGTCTGATATTTTCCAATCAGATCTGTGAGCAGTGTGACCACTGTGAGAATAGTCATGTCAAATTTTGTGGAAACCTTCTGATTCATCACCAGGCTAGGGTTGCAGTGATAAACCGTGAAACTGTAAACCAAGGTATAAAAAAATGATGATCATACAGTGTACATTTGCTTGTCTATGGTATCAGGGGGAAAAAATACAGCCGGATGGAGAACCTTACCTGCGTGTGCTCATCTCCTTTGCTCCTCCACTGCCTGTCAGACTTCTTAGACAAACTTCCATTAAAAAATGGTTTCAAACTTAAATTATAACAAAATGTTTGTTCCACCAAAATAACTCTTATGTTTTCAATCCTAAGGGTCATTGTAACTGATAATAATGTTTGTGCAAAACCATATATCATGATCTGTGATATTTTTGGAGGGGGTTATTGTATTTTAAAAGTCCCATACCATTGCACCTCTAAATCAGACCTTGTTGTTGACATTGTACTGTATCAAAGCAGTACAATGTAACTACAGCAGGCTGCTGTAGCTGTACTGCTACTGCAGTAGGTTACCCCAGCCGCCAGCCAATAAAAGTCCGACTGCAAGAATCTTTCTGATGAGATAACCTTGCTAGACTCCTGTTGTGACAGCCTCGTCATGAGGTGCTGACAGACATATTAGAATGTAGCCTTGGACATCCTAAAGTTCTAGAGGAACTGTTTCTTTGAAAAATGATCCACATCACTGGGCCACCACATCATCCACACCCACACGTCTCTTTCCACAGAACTATCAGCAATAGCTGCAAATAGAACTACAGCTATGGCTTTCATTTCTTTGTCTCCTCGCCCTCAACCGCAACATACAGTACAGGCCAAAAGTTTGGACACACCTTCTCATTCAATGCGTTTTCTTTATTTTCATGACTATTTACATTGTAGATTCTCACTGAAGGCATCAAAACTATGAATGAACACATGTGGAGTTATGTACTTAACAAAAAAAGGTGAAATAACTGAAAACATGTTTTATATTCTAGTTTCTTCAAAAGAGCCACCCTTTGCTCTGATTACTGCTTTGCACACTCTTGGCATTCTCTCCATGAGCTTCAAGAGGTAGTCACCTGAAATGGTTTTCCAACAGTCTTGAAGGAGTTCCCAGAGGTGTTTAGCACTTGTTGGCCCCTTTGCCTTCACTCTGCGGTCCAGCTCACCCCAAACCATCTCGATTGGGTTCAGGTCCGGTGACTGTGGAGGCCAGGTCATCTGCCGCAGCACTCCATCACTCTCCTTCTTGGTCAAATAGCCCTTACACAGCCTGGAGGTGTGTTTGGGGTCATTGTCCTGTTGAAAAATAAATGATCGTCCAACTAAACGCAAACCGGATGGGATGGTAGGTCACTGCAGGATGCTGTGGTAGCCATGCTGGTTCAGTGTGCCTTCAATTTTGAATAAATCCCCAACTGTGTCACCAGCAAAACACCCCCACACCATCACACCTCCTCCTCCATGCTTCACAGTGGGAACCAGGCATGTGGAATCCATCCGTTCACCTTTTCTGCGTCTCACAAAGACACGGCGGTTGGAACCAAAGATCTCAAATTTGGACTCATCAGACCAAAGCACAGATTTCCACTGGTCTAATGTCCATTCCTTGTGTTTCTTGGCCCAAACAAATCTCTTCTGCTTGTTGCCTCTCCTTAGCAGTGGTTTCCTAGCAGCTATTTGACCATGAAGGCCTGATTCGCGCAGTCTCCTCTTAACAGTTGTTCTAGAGATGGGTCTGCTGCTAGAACTCTGTGTGGCATTCATCTGGTCTCTGATCTGAGCTGCTGTTAACTTGCCATTTCTGAGGCTGGTGACTCGGATGAACTTATCCTCAGAAGCAGAGGTGACTCTTGGTCTTCCTTTCCTGGGTTGGTCCTCATGTGTGCCAGTTTCGTTGTAGCGCTTGATGGTTTTTGCGACTCCACTTGGGGACACATTTAAAGTTTTTGCAATTTTCCAGACTGACTGACCTTCATTTCTTAAAGTAATGATGGCCACTCGTTTTTCTTTAGTTAGCTGATTGGTTCTTGCCATAATATGAATTTTAACAGTTGTCCAATAGGGCTGTCGGCTGTGTATTAACCTGACTTCTGCACAACACAACTGATGGTCCCAACCCCATTGATAAAGCAAGAAATTCCACTAATTAACCCTGATAAGGCACACCTGTGAAGTGGAAACCATTTCAGGTGACTACCTCTTGAAGCTCATCGAGAGAATGCCAAGAGTGTGCAAAGCAGTAATCAGAGCAAAGGGTGGCTATTTTGAAGAAACTAGAATATAAAACATGTTTTCAGTTATTTAACCTTTTTTCGTTAAGTACATAACTCCACGTGTTCATTCATAGTTTTGATGCCTTCAGTGAGAATCTACAATGTAAATAGTCATGAAAATAAAGAAAACGCATTGAATGAGAAGGTGTGTCCAAACTTTTGGCCTGTACTGTATAATATATAATATGACAAATTGTCATCTGACCTCTGCAACAAACAACTTGGGAGATTGGCGCTTGCACTGCAATGTCATAATCCTGTAATGTGAACATAGACTAACTTCTTTGGTTTCTGGCTTTGAGAGAGAGTAGCTCATGTTCACAAATATTGAACGACGTTTCCTAGGCCATGAACATAACATTAAAATTCTTAACTTAGGTGGTGTTCCCCTTTGTTATACATGCAAAGGTGGTGGTGAATTGCAGAGAGTGTGTGTATGTGTGTGTGTGTTACAGGAAACAGCCTTGATTAAGTGAGTGACTGTAAAGTGTGTTCATAAAGTGTTAGTAGAAAACATTTTCTTGAGCTGCTCATTTTGCTCTGACTAGTTTTAGAGATTATTTTGCCACAGCACCAAAAGTGACATGATAATTTTGTGTTCATTAACCACTACTTTTATTTCTTTTTGACCTTGTTTTTAATGTGTTTTGGGAAAAAGCATAGTAGTGATTTTCTTACTGTGATTTACCCTTTTAGGAAAAGTATTGAACATTAAAGTTTATGATTTGGTATTTTTAAAACCACATTTTGGTGTGATGGCAACAATTACTTGTGAGAATTTTTAAAATCTAGTGTGTTTTATCTGCTCTGTGTCTGTTTTTAGACGGATCCAACACCATCCACTTAAAGTTGATCCATCTGCGAAAGGATCCTCCTATCGTTCAAGAGTACGATGTGCCTGTCTTCACCCAGTGCAAAGACCACTTCATCAAATCTCAGTGGGATCTCACCACACAACAGGTAGGCCTTGTGGCTGATATCAAGCGACGCTGTGATAAGATATGTGCCCAAATTCTAAGAAGAGGAGAAGGATTAGTGATCAAAGGCCTAAGGCCTGTTAGGTCATGGAGTTTAGTACAAGCTGATAATGCTCTATTGTATGTTGTTTACTGCAGATCCTGCCCTACATTGATGGGTTCAGACACATCCAGAAAATCTCAGCTGAAGCGGATGTTGAGCTGAATCTTGTTCGCATTGCGGTACAGAATCTCCTGTAAGTATATTTCCGCGAAAAAAGGCTGACACACACCAGTAGCAGCTGATGTGCATCAGAACACCCTTATCCATTGTATTCTATGTAAAGTAAGCCCGAGGGTCGATCCACGCAACACATCATGACAAGCCACTATCCTATTCATCAGCGCTGGCTGTCAGCGGCAATTATCTCATTTGCTATCTTTGATTTATGCTCTGTGTAGCTACGCTGGTCCAGTGGAATAATGGTCACACATCTTACATATGTCTTTTGAAGTTGTAATATGTATGTCTTTATCTTTTGTCAGCTGACACCGTGAAAACTGACACTGTGAAAACCACAAGAAAATAGAAGACAGAAGGAGTTTCATATATACGTCTCGCAGTCTGTCAGTAAAACCTCTGAAGCTGGCGTCTGCTCATGAACAGGCTCAAACACGTTAGCACAACAGGAATGTGATGATATCAAATAAATTTACTGAAAATTATTCACAATTTCCCTGTAAAGACACATCAACAAACATCATACACAGTGATAAAACAAATGAAAGACAATTACCCTGAGCGCCTTTTAAGCCCTTTTTACACACAACCACATGATGGTGGCGTCATTCCGCTCCAGTGTGATTATATGCAGCTTTATAGAATCGAAAGAGGCGCAATGGGCATTACATGTAACACAACAGCATCAGCTTCTATTGTGACAAAGAACATTCGTGTCAGCAGCGCTTTCTAAACAACAACAATGGCATTAATGTGTCCGTAACAATCATTTACTGTCACTGTTCTATGGCAGCCGATCTCGTCCTCCTTGGGGGGTAAGGAGCTCTCGAATCTCATCAGCTGTCTTGATTAGCCTTTTTAGTCATCCAGTTAGTAAGTCCACCCTTCCAACAATCACCAAATCTGCTTTGGTTGAAATGAGCCTTTACAGAGTACACTGCTTATCCCTTCCGTCTCCCTCATCCACTGAGCAGCAGCTCTCACTCGTCGTTTGGAGGGTGCTACAGTAACGTCACATCATGTTTCAACAAACATTTAATCAATGGCAACAAAAGAAGAAAGGAAATGGCAGTAACAAAATATTTTTAAAGTCACAGATTGCTTGTTTGGAAACTTAACGTTACTACTCCATTTCTTGTTTAGTTGCAAGTTGGGTTGTTTATACAGAAGTTGGCCCGCTGCAATGGTTGCAATGGCAATGGCACACATAAAAATGGCCGCCGCTCTGACCATCCTGCTACACTGACTTGAATGGACATGTCCGTTTCCCTCTCATTTTATTTCTATGATTAAACCTTTCATAAAGAGTACTTAATTTCTAAGAACCTCATTTTAAAGGTGGTAATATTAAACACATATTTTTAAAACCAATGTTACCCTTTTAACTTCTCACTTATTACATTTTTAAACATTTTTAATGACCGTAGGGACTCAATTACTCGTGAAGTTCTGGCAGAAACATATGTAATAAACATCTTGATAACAAAAGTCTCTGAGACATTTAAACAGCCTGAATGTGTGCGTTGCAGACGTTCATTTTCGAAAGAAACCAAGAAAAGATACTGAAATTCCTCTTTTCCTTCACAGGTATTACGGTGTCGTGACCTTGGTGTCAATATTTCAGGTATGGTGGTACTATTTATGATTTTAGGGCCATTGTGATTTAAAAAAAAATCTAATTATGAGAAGAAGAGTCATTATTTGACGTAAATGTGGATTACACAGTGTAATGGCTATAGAATAATGACACCATATGCATTTAGATTGGTTCCCTATGAGCCTCGCTTTCTCAGTGCAGTTCTGTCTGTCAGCGGGTATGATCCCCCGGGAAAGTGAAGACTCAATTTACAGTAAAAAGGAAGTGCGTCAACCACTGCACAACCAAACAGGAAGAGCAGAGCAGTTTTGTTTTCCACAGTAGCTGTCAGTAGCTTTCCTCAGTCACCAAAGAGTATCAGTGTAAGTTCTTTGCAGTTACAGTAGCAGGAATGGCGGACTGAAGTTACCGTGGAAACGATGGTAGTTGCTAGGCTCTGAGGGAAACTGAAAATGATGTGGTTGTATTTGCGACAGCCGCGCTGACAATAAAACTGCTTGGAAACTATGACTGTTTATTGCTGACAGTGGCCTAGTTCTCAGTCATAACTGTTTGAGGTTTGTTTAGTTTGGTGATCGTCTTTTTACCTCCCTCCAGTACTCCAATGTGTACTGCACCACCCCCAAAGTCCAGAGCCTCATAGACGACAAGTCCATCCAGGAGGAATGCCTCAACTACGTCACTAAGCAGGGTAAATAAGAGCCATGACTGCTGAACTCAAGTGTTATTTTCCTGACTTTGTGACGATCATTGTGTCATTGTGTGTCAGGCCAGAAGCGTGCCAGTCTGAGGGATGTGTTCCAGCTGTACTGTGGTCTGAGTCCAGGGACCACAGTCCGAGACCTTTGTTCTCGCTACTCGCAGCAGCTTCAAAGGGTAGATGAGAGGTCAGTATCATTCACCTTATCAGTTCCTGGAAAGACTTTGTGACTCTCAGGTCAGGTTGGTCAGATCAGAGTGACATTTATTTACATGCCTGCGTCATGTCATGTGTTTCACCTTCCAGGAGGCTGATCCAGTTTGGACTGATGAAGTCTCTAATTCGACGGCTGCAGAAATACCCTGTGAAGGTGATCCGTGACGAGAGGAGCAGGCTGCCTCGACTCTACACCGGTTGCCATAGTTATGATGAGATCTGCTGCAAGACAGGCAGGTTTTAAAGCTCCCTCTGTTTGTTCAGTATAAGTAATGGTAGAAAACATGTCGGCTTACGGTGTCTTTATTTTACAGGGATCAGTTACCAGGAGCTGGACGAACGTTTGGAAAATGACCCCAACATCGTGGTGTGCTGGAAGTGACATGAACTGACAACAGACTGAAAGATACAGAGATGCCTCAACCAAAGATGCCTTCAGTGACAGGAGGAGTTTTCATAGTGAAAGTGAAGTAGTGTTTTGTAATTTTTATGTTAGTGGTTTTTTTTAAACATCTCATCAAGAAGTAGCACATTTCTGTTTAGGTCAGTGAGGAAGGAGATATTTATTAATATTGTACAAAGTTTGTGATTAATAAAAGAGATTATACCACAATGTGACAGTGTGTTGTAAAGTGCATAAAATGATGAGGGGAAAAAACATCTAGAATTTAACATTTGATGCCACATTTTAAAAATGAGCCTGAGACTGAAGCACTGGAACAAGTGGATATAGAAGATCTCATGTTGTCAGACTGGACAAAATTACTCATCTTACTTTGAAACTACAATAAGAAACATTCATTCATTCATTTTCCATGCTCACTTATCCTGTTAGGGGTTGTGGGAGAGCTGGGGTCTATCCCAACTGACATTGGGAGAGAGGCAGGGCGCACCCTGGACAGGTGACATAGAGACAGACAACCATTCACACTCACATTCACACCTACAGCCAATTTAGAGTCACCAATCAACCTAACCTGCATGTCTTTGGACTGTGGGAGGAAACCGGAGTACCCAGAGAAAACCTACCCTGGATTCTAGCTGGGAACCCTCTTGTTGTGAGGCGACAAAGCCAACCGCTGTACCACTGTGCCACCCAACATTAATATCAAGAATTTTTACTTCACCACTATACTGTGGAAAAAAGGCACCAGTATTTGTGCATTTCATGTCTCACATTATAAGGAAAAAAATGACTGTCAAACTACATTTGTTTGACAGCTACAGTTCCCAGTTGCTTACAAAAGATTTTACATTATACAATCTTTTAAGCTTATAAAATAGTATATATTATTGCAATTTAGACAACCCAGCAGTATATAAAACAGTAAAAAACATTTCTTACACTCACAACAGTAAGTCATTGTATTTGAGAATCATGGTAATGTTTTTTGCCAAGTAGGTTTTCACTCACAAAGACTTTGCCTCACTGTTTGGTGCAAGAAATACACATTAAGGCAAAGTACTGCAAGGGTCAAGGAAATAAATATGGAATATAAAATATGTGCAATAGAGCTATTTCAGAATAAGAGTCCTGTGCAGTTTTGTGCAGGATCTGCAAAATTTTGATTTAAAATATCTTGACAAAGGCCCGCAGTTGAAAAATGGCCGGCTGGCTAACACTGGCACATTTACGGATATGTTGATTAATGTGCGTTGTCATTATAAATAAAAGAAATGAAATTAAACTGTATGTGCAAAAGTTCACAATAGTCCAATAATGTATTCTTGAAGTGCAGTTTGCTAGTGATACTTACTTGTGTAGGAGTATGTTTGCAGTGTGGTGCTGCAGCTCCTGACACCTCCTCCATCACTGCTCATTTTTGATCTTCACACTCAGCACGCTGTTGGTTTTACTTGAAGATGTACCGCCCCTCTCTGGCGGCCCGGAGGAACTGCGTTCTGGGTGCGCTCGGTTTACAGTCACCATGACAACCACAGGACACGAAGGCTAACCGGTTAACTCCACTTGACTGAAGAGTTAGCTAATGATATTCTTCTTTTCTTATTTTACTCGATAGTTTGTTGAATAGTTTCCTGTAACAAAATGGACACGTCTGTAATTCTGCCTGTCGAGGCAGAGGCGTTTGTTCAAAGTCTGGAAACTTTCTCTGTCAAGGAGGTGGGCTCTGAGAGGTAAAGTGAACCAGCAACACCTCAAGTTAGCTAGAGCTAAAGTTAACGTTAGCTAACATGGCTAAACTAGCATTAAACTATCCAGGATATAACTTTAGATTTAATTTAAGTGAGCCAGCAGTGTTTGCGAAGCTACTTTTGAATTATAGCGTTGAAACCTACTGTAGCAGTTGATGAAGCCTATTTCTGTGCTGTTAAATTATTTTTCTCTTGGTGTGTGTTGACAGGTGGTTCAGACAGCACGAGCACATCGAGAAACTCAACATGCAGGCGATACTGAATGCTTCTGCTATGCACCATGAGTTCGTCAAAGAGCACCTGGTGTCCTATGGAAAGGTGACTGCTACCTCTCGACACGTGATGTTGAAAGGGAATTTAGAGAAGCCCTTCCAAAAAAGGAAAAGAATTATATATGATAGCATGATGAACACTTTAGAAAAGTTTTTTTTATCTACAGTATCTTTTCCTACCTCTCTTCCTCTCTAGATACCTGTTCTGGTCCATGAAATGATCCTCATTGAAGTGTGGAAGCACAGAGTGTTCCCCATCTTATGTCAGCTGCAGGACTTTAATCCCAAGAACACATTTCAGCTGTACATGGTGGTGAGTGTAAAATCAGATGTAAAATGATGTCAGCTGGCAGCGCTCATCACTGATTTCATATGTTCTTTAATGCGTCCTTCTTAGATCCACCATGAAGTCACGATCATAAACCTACTTGAAACGATAATGTATCATAAGGTCAGTGTGTAAATACATACCCCAGAATACCCCTGATTGTGCTGCCTAGCAGCTTAAACTATCTGTCTCTATAAATATTGTCATAGTCTTAAGTTTTGTTTATTGTGCAGGATTCATGTGACGCAGCTGATGACTCTGTTCTTGACTTGGTGGATTACTGCCACCGCAAACTCACCTTACTGGCGAGCAAAGCGACCAGGGAGGGCACAACAACTCTTGACCAACACAACCTGAGAGGAGAAGCAGTTGTATCCACTATAGAGGTACAGACATCTGAGATTTGTTGTTCTTTCTTTGGTCCTTCTATTACTAAATGTGATCAGTCACATCATTCTTTTCACTTGTTGAAGGAGTTGCAGGTGCAGAGTGCTGCACTGGAGTTTGAAATCTCCCTGAAGGCTGTGTCTGTGCTGCGCTACATCACTGATCACACCGAGAGGTACGACAAGCGTGTCCGGAGCATCAGTAAGGTTCAGGGATTAGAGGCTTACAGGGGAGAATCTGAGAAATCCTCTGAGACTTTAAGGCATCCAAGCTAAACCATTTTTGACCTTCTTAATCATTTTGTTTATAATACATGAAGCAGTTGTTAAAAAAGACATGTAACATCTTCAAATTGCTTGTTTTGTCCAACCAACAGTTCAAACCCAAGATAATACATTTGCAATAATACAAAACAAAGATAAAACACATCTAACAACCTTGAGCTTTTGGAAATTTTGTTTGAAAACTGTCTTAAATTAATACTTGATCCCCCAAATAACCTTTTGTGTATCAGTTACTCACTCTGTGTTATGTTTAACTCAGTAAGAAAACTCTGAGACTGTTTACTCCTGGTATTAACGTGTTTCGGTGATCTGAACACAAGTGGACAGCAGAGACACATCGCCATTCACATCTGTGTCTATTATGCGTCTCCAGTGAGGTTGTCAATGGATGTTTTGATATAACTTTGCTGTTTTTTAACACCGACCAGACCACTATGACTTAAGTTTATCAAGAATGTTAATCTTTTTTGGATTCTTCAGTCACCATAGAGGCATGCTAGAATAACTAAATTGTCTTTCTGATTTCAACGTAACACGGAGTGACTAAGTGATGTACACATGATCATTTGAAGGGTGAAGTATTCCTTTAAACAAGTCATCATCATCTATCAGAGTTGCTGCAGAAAAGTTTTCCGTTATGTGACCTCTTCTTTCTTCACAGTGTCAGTGTCATCAACCGCATGCTGTGCACACATAACCTGCCTTGCGTCTTGGTTCGGCTGATTGACTGCTGCCCTTGGAGTCGCTATAAAGAAGGTATACTGTGCATCACACCCCTTGCATATCAAATATGTTCTTATATTTTTGCATGGGACCCTTCATTTAATTTTCTCCTCTCGGTCTCCCACTGAAGGTGAAGTAGAAAAGTACATCAGTGGCAGATGGCAGAAGATCCCTGCTGAGGACCGTTTAAAGATGACAAAACTAGACGGTCAGGTCTGGATTTCTCTTTACAATCTGCTGCTGAAGGAAGACTGCCAAAGGAAATATGAATTCAACAGTTTCAACAAGAATCAGCTTCTGAAGGTAAACCGTGAAGAAAATGTTGACTTTTCATCATTCCTTTATTATCTTCAGGGTCTTGAGCTGTGATGCTTGAGTTATTTGAAAAGTAAAGCGTAGGAAGCGTGTGAGTGCCAGATCATTGTCCTCCAACAACATATCTGTCCTCCTCACTTGTTAAAACACAGATTCAGTTTCCAAGGTTTGTTTTGACTAAGATGTTTCCTCCTATTATACGCTTTCTCATCCCCTTCCTGTTGCATTAATTATATAACCAGAGAGCCCTGTGCATCCTCCTGTAGTCCTTGTTATCCCCTCTAATCATGCGTTGGGTCGTGTGTTTGTGTATCCGTCTGTCCGCAGCTAATCTCACAACTACCGGACCAATCGACCTCATACATTGTGTGCACTTTTATGACTATATATATATATACCCAAGGACTTCTTGTGGTTGTGGCGATTCACAATAGTTGAAAAATCTGTTTAACTGACTGTTTTATGCCGTCATTGACTGTTGATTCCTTACTACTCTCTAGGGGCTGCAAGATTTCCGTAAATCATCTCAGCTATAAACAACAAGCCTTACCGTCTGTTGCAGGCCACATTTAGGCCTCTGTTGTGGCTCAGAAACTGACATTCATAAAAGAGTTTGGTCTTATTTTGCACCGGAGCATCTGCAGATTTATTTCCACACGTGATATGTTACAATCCACAATACCAGATTAATAAATCCCCAGTTTTTGTTATCTTCGCCACCATCTTGACTGTAAGGGAGCCAGGAAGGACAATTACAGCCAGTGCAGGCATCCGCTGTCTGCTTGCAACCTGGTTTTGCTCGGTCATACCACACAGGGAGCATTTCAGAAGCAGCACACACTGTCTGCCTGATTTTGTAGACCTAGAGATTTTGTTGATTTTGTCATTTTTCCTTGATATCTGTGCTTCTATTGTAAGCTCCACCAAAAATAGACAAGGTACTTATTTTTATTGGCTTCGGGGACATGTCATAAACAGTCATTTTGAACTGACATCAGTGTATGTACTTGAAAAAAGTATATTTTTGCTATTGGTGTGTATTTCCATCGCACATTCGGTCTAAAGTTCATTTAAAGTGGTATTAAAAAGGTCTTAAAAAGTCTTAAATGTAACTTGTTTACACCTGTAGACACCCTGTTCAACTCAGTGCACTTTTCTAGTGTTCTCATACAGTCTTGCTGTTATTGTTGTTGCTGTAATTATTTGTGGGCTTATTTTCATGTACTACAGCTGCGGGGTTTCTTGACGGAGGTGTTGGTTGATCAGCTGCCAAACCTGGTGGAGCTGCAGCGTTTCCTGGCTCACCTGGCCGTTACAGACCCTGCCCCTCCAAAAAAGAGCCTCATTCTGGAACAGGTGCACACTCACACATGCACGCAAAAGTGTATACAGCTTACTATGTCCCCTGTGCATTTACCCTCAGTTTTGCTTTATGTGCAGATCCCAGAAATGTGGAACCACATTGTGAGTGAGAATTCTGGGAAGTGGAAGGCAATAGCAAAGTATCAAGTCAAAGAAACGTTCAGCCCGTCTGAGAGTGACCTGAGGCAGCAGGCACAGAGGTAATACTGCATACACAAGTCTGAGCACTGAATGTAAAGAGAAGTCAATTGTATTATTCTCACTGTGATGATTATTGACATAAGTATTGTTCTATACCAGGTTGGCCCAGATGTACAATTTGGATCTGATGGAGAGTTTACTCCCCGAGAAGCCAAAGTGTGGATCCTGTGGGAAAGAGGCTGCAAAGAGATGCTCTCGATGTCAGGGAGAGTGGTACTGTCACAGGTAAGACTCGTATAGATGTTTTTTCTGTGGTAGTGCAGACACTGAACCAGACTGTCGTAGTTAAGAGGGAGCTGGGTCTGAAGGCAAAGCTCATGATTTACCAGTTGATGCACTTTTTAACCTTCACCTATGATCATAAGTTTTGGGACATGACTGAAAGAATGAGATCATGAATATATGCTACCAAAATGAGTGTCCTGTGCTCACTGTTGGTCAGATATGGAGTGAGGAGCTCAGACATTAGATCAGACATTTCATATCCCAGATGGCTTGAAAACCACCTCATGCCCGGATCATACAGCGGTGTGTTGCTACAGGTGTGGCTGCTTTGAAAATACCTTGGCAAAGGCGCTGGGTAAAACAGAGTGGTGCACCTGTGGAGTGGGGCTGCATGCACAACTGTACGATCAGCTGTGATTGACAGAAAAAAATGATTCAAGCAGATTCTCTCATACCGTCTCACTTTCTTGTAGCTCTTTAAGACCTGTTGGAGCACCAGCGATCTTATTTGCATATTTATTTTAAAATGCCGATAGAAATGCAACCAAATAAGATAGAGCAATAATTTTACACTAACATATCATGCATTCATCATGTCTCAGATCACTGTTTCCTTGCACTAATGGGTTTGTAGAAATAGAGTAAAAAGTCCACACAACAAAAACATTATAATCCAGACCACAGATACTCACAGCACTTCCTACGTTAGAATAAGCACCATCACGTCGTGAGCATGAACTGAGGGTATAAGGGTTATATTGATGGATAGCATAATAACTACTCCAAAAATGGCACTACAGAATGTAAAAATGTAAAGATACACTCTGGCGGACTTGTTCTATGGTAGGTCATAAAGGGTTAAAGACAGTAGTCAACATGAAACTCCCTCTCTCACTCTCTGTAGCTCTCTCACAGTCCAACAGCTAGCTAGCCTATTTATCGGCATAATAAACAGCATTATATTTAGATTTAACTTGGTTGTTCATGTGGGGTGACCTTGAATTATATAGTTCATTATAACCCCATTTTACCTTTACTGTATGTATTCCGTTTATTATCTGTTAAGCTTACTATACATATTTTTTTAAATAATCTTGTTTAGGTTACAATATATATTTTTTGTAAATATCCCTGTTTAGGTTACGATATATATTTTTTTGTAATTATTCCTGTTTAGGATACAATATATATTTTTGTAAATAATCTTGTTTAGGTTACAATATATATTTTTTGTAAATATCCCTGTTTAGGTTACGATATATATTTTTTTGTAAATATTCCTGTTTAGGTTACAATATATATTTTTGTAAATAATCTTGTTTAGGTTATGATTAATATTTTTTAAATATTCTTGTTAGATTTCTTATATTTTCACTTATCTTTCTTATCTTAATCTTGTAAGGAGCACCTGTAACGCAAACAATTTCCCCTCAGGGGTCAATAAAGTATTTCTGATTCTGATTCTGATAATTAAATGCTTTCATCTGCCATTGTTCTCCTATCCCTAACAAATCAAATGATCAAAACAGGAAGGAAGTGGTAAATTAATAAAGCCCATCTTTTGCTTGATTTGATTGGCTGCCTGGGGCAAGTGTGACAATGATTGGCGGTGCAACTCTGCGCCTTGCGCTGAAAAGTTGAGAATATGTTTAACTTTTATGTGTTTCTAAAAAAACTCCAGAATTATAGGCAGTGCAGGAGACCAGGGCACGCCTGGCATCCCATACCACAGTAAAACAATGTTTTTTGTTGGCGACATGTTTCTAGTGAAGCGCCTCAGGATCCCCCAGGAGCTGGAGGACATATGGGCTATTATGCTTAGCCTGCTACCATGGCAACCATCTAGAAGCGTTCTGTCCTACCTGTCTGAAGTCCTTTATATCTACTCATGTATATTTGTAATATTGACTCCCTTTCCACTTTCATATCCCATCTGAAAACACACCTTTTCCAGCTGGCATATTCAGTCTGATTTAATGGTCACACACATATTGAGACTTGGACTGGTGACGAAGATGAATACAAGTCTGTGTTTCTACATCAGACATAAAATTACATCTTATCCATGACCATTAGACATATCTTTCTACACCACATATCTTACATAAATGTTCTTGGTATTTTGATATCACATGCTAAATGTATGATATGTTTCTGCTGATCTTAAGTCTCATTCATCTTATTGTGTTTGACAGAGAATGTCAGGTGAAGCACTGGCCTAAACACAAGAGAGCCTGCCAGCTTATGGCCGAGGCCACAGAGAAGATCCAGAGGGACCTGCACATCAACAGCTAATGAAGAGAGACTGCTGACACACATGAAACAACTGGTGATGGACGATAGACTGTTGAGTCACACAATGGGAGGGGAACAGATCTGCATGTTCACGACGCTAATTCAGATTCCTATACATTTTTGAAATTCTCTCAATGCAGGAAAAGTTTATGCCCAGTTATAAAGTGTTATTGTTCCTTTTGTTTTGAATACTGTAATGTTTGTTTATGATTTTGTGTTTGTCATTTGTGTTTAATGAAACCTTGCTTCACTGTCAAGACTCCTGAACTCCTTTGATTTTGTTATTCAACACATTAGAGGTGCATTTAACTTCATTACACCAGCAGCAAATAAAAATGCTTTAACAACTCTACTCTACAACTCTACATTGTCTTCCTGCCCAGTGCTATTAAGAAGAAAGGCGTGTAGGTATTTTCATATGACCACAATGACAGACCAATGTAACCTTGTTGATGTGTTTGTTAAATTAACTGCTTGTTTCTTTATGTCGTTTCTTAAGGACAACTTTCCAGTCTAGTAGACAATAAACGACCGTTACCTCCAGCATGCACTGGAGCGGTTTGCAGCTGCGTGTGAAGCGGTCGGGAGGAGAGTCAGCACCTTCAAATCTGAGGCCATGGTTCGCTGCTGGAAACCTGGGAATGTCCCCTCCAGGTTGGGAGTAACTTACTGCCTCAAGCGAGGGAGTTCAAGTACCTCGGGGTCTTGTTCACGAGTGAGGGTAGAATGTAGCGTGAGATGGATTGCCGGACTGCCGTGGTGAAGAGAGAGCTGAGTCGGATGGCAAAGCTTTCGATTTACTGGTCCATCTATGTCCCAACCCCTCACCTATGGTCATGAGCTCCGGGTAGTGACCGAAAGAATGAGATTGTGGATACAAGCGGACGAAATAAGCTTCCTCTGTGGGGTGGCTGGGCTCAGCCTTGGAGATAGGGTAAGGAGCTTGGACATGCGGAGGGAGCTTGGAGTAGAGCCGCTGCTCCTTTGCATCGAACGGGGTCAGTTCAGGTGGTTCAGGCAATTGATCAGGATGCCTCCTGGGCGCCCCCTGTTGGAGGTGTTCTGGGCATGTCCCACTGGTAGGAGGTCCTGGGGAAGACCCAGAACATGCTGGAGGGATCTTGTATCTCGTCTGGCCTGGTAACACCTTGAGGTCCCCCCAGGAGGAGCTGCAAAGCGTTGTTGGAGAGACGGACGTCTGGGGTGCTTTGCAGATGAAAATGGATGGATGGATAGACAATGAAGACATAGTCTATTCTCTTCTATTCGAACCTCTTTTAATACTCACCTAGTTCAAGTACCTGGGGATTTGTGGTTCCTCTTCTTGGTTGTTACTCCTGTCAGTCATGTTCAGACTTTGCCCTCCATGAATGTTGGACTGTTGACTTTCTTTCAGTGAATACATAACGGTGTTGGCTGTTGGTTTAAGCATTATAAATACTACCCGTGTGTGTGTGTGTGTGTGTGTGTGTGTGTGGGTGGTTAGAGATAGGGTTTGACACAGTGGTTGGAGGGGTGTGGAGGGGGGACTTTGCACGCCCACTCAGCTGTGCTCCGGTGCTCCGGACTCAGAAGCACCCCCTATGTGAAAACATTCCGGATGTCGGCTCAGCTCAGTCTCATCTTACTCTCTCTTTTTCATAATGAGCAGCTTCCTCCTCTCACAGCGCAGTCTGACACAATCTAAAGATGTCTTGAGGAGTGCTCACACACCGTTGTTTCTCTGATATTACCGAGCAAACAGGGCCTCCGTCGTTAGTTAGATGTGAGCCGCCGGTGATGATAGATTATTTCCAGAGATGTAGCAGCGGCCTCACACCTCCGTTACTTGGAAACCGTCAGAAGTTTGCTGCGGAAAGTTTTTTTCTCTCCGGATGGAAGAAGAAGTTTTGAGACAAAGCGGGTGCCACGGGGCTGTTCCCCCTCCTGTTTTGGTAAGTTAGACTTAAGATACTCAAGATTTTATTTCACTTTGACGTGCCAGTGATTAATGTTATTTACAAAACTTGTTTTTCAGACCTAAACGTGACTTTTCATCTTCCGAGCCGTCGTAAACGCACCTTTAATTGTTGTATTTACAGAGAAATCATAGTTACTCATGTACTGAAAAACCTCAGCCTACAGCACATTTCTTGGTGACATAAACATGTAACAGTTATGTCTTCTTTCATACTCTACTTACACTGGGTTGGCAGACTATCAAATATTACATAATTACTCACATGGAGCATGTTATGTATGACCAATGTGTCATATACACTACATAGTTACTACACCATCATATATAAACTTATAGTGTGTTATAAAATGTCTGAAATCTGCTATATATGACACTGACACAAACAAAACAAACCTTATTGCACTTGCTAGAAGTACATTTACTCTTTCACTATACTTTAATAGCCTACAGCTTATTGAGTGTTTCCATTTTATGCTAATATAGGCTACATGCACTCAACTGCATTTATTTCAATTCAATTCAATTCAATTCAATTTTATTTATAAAGCCCAATATCACAAATCACAATTTGCCTCACAGGGCTTTACAGCATACGACATCCCTCTGTCCTTATGACCCTCGCAGCGGATAAGGAAAAACCCCCCAAAAAAACCCCTTTAACGGGGAAAAAAAACGGTAGAAACCTCAGGAAGAGCAACTGAGGAGGGATCCCTCTTCCAGGACGGACAGACGTGCAATAGATGTCGTACAGAACAGATCAGCATAATAAATTAACAGTAATCCATATGACACAATGAGACAGAGAGAGAGAGAGAGAGAGAGAGAGAGAGAGAGAGAGAGAGAGAGATGCAGGTAATGACAGTAGCTTACAACAACATTATTGAAAGTAATAATATTATAGTTATAGTTCTGGCTACTGTGGTACAATATGTTGAAAGTATGTATTAATATCTGGCAGTATACATGTGTGACAATAGTCATATGTGTATAATAACAGTAGAAGTATGACTAATGACTAATGATGGCAGCAGCAGCAGGAGGCATCTGGCAGGACCACGGCAGCAGCACAACCACACACGTCACGCTGTCCAGGCACCGCTGCGATATGAGTTAATCTGAGAGACAGTGGAGCACAAAGGCTCCGGAGAAGAAGCCGAGTTAGTGACATCCAGAATGGCCGAGTTAGCAAGATGCAGTAATAGGATGAGAGTGAGAGAGAGAGAGAGAGAGAGAGAGAGAGAGAGAGAGAGGGAGAGAGAGGGAGCCCGGTGTATTATAGGGGGTCCTCCGGCAGACTAGGCCTAAGTCAGCCTAACTAGGGGCTGGTACAGGGCAAGCCTGAGCCAGCCCTAACTATAAGCTTTATCAAAGAGGAAAGTCTTAAGTCTAGTCTTAAATGTGGAGACGGTGTCTGCCTCCCGGACCGTAACAGGAAGATGATTCCACAGGAGAGGAGCCTGATAGCTGAAGGCTCTGGCTCCTGATCTACTTTTGGAGACTTTAGGGACCACGAGTAACCCTGCGTTCTCAGAGCGCAGTGTTCTGGTGGGATAATATGGCACTATGAGCTCTCTAAGATATGACGGAGCTTGACCATTTAGAGCTTTATAAGTTAACAGTAGGATTTTAAATTCAATTCTGGATTTTACAGGGAGCCAGTGCAGAGAAGCTAAAACAGGAGAAATATGATCTCGTTTCTTAGTTCCTGTTAGTACACGTGCTGCTGCATTCTGAATTAGCTGGAGAGTTTTTAAGGACTTACTAGAGCTACCTGATAATAGAGAGTTACAGTAATCCAGCCTTGAGGTAACAAAAGCGTGGACCAATTTTTCTGCATCTTTTCGGGTCAGGATAGGCCTAATTTTCGCAATATTACGCAGATGAAAAAATGCAGTCCGTGAGGTTTGCTTTAAATGAGAATTAAAAGACAAATCTTGATCAAATATTACTCCGAGGTTTCTTACGGTAGTGCTAGAGGCCAGAGCAATGCCATCTAGAGAAACTATGTCATCAGATAAAGAGTCTCTGAGTTGTTTGGGGCCAAGAACAATAACTTCAGTTTTGTCTGAATTTAACATCAGGAAATTGGTGCTCATCCAATTTTTTATGTCTTTAAGGCAGTTATGGAGTTTAGTTAATTGATTACTTTCTTCTGGCTTCATCGATAAATACAACTGTGTATCATCCGCATAACAATGGAAATTTATAGAGTGATTTCTAATGATGTTACCTAAAGGAAGCATATATAGAGTAAATAGGATTGGTCCGAGCACAGAACCTTGCGGAACTCCAAAACAAACTTTGGTACGTAAGGATGATTCATTACGAACGTCAACAAATTGAAAACGATCAGATAAATAAGATTTAAACCAGCTTAGTGCTGAACCTTTTAGGCCAATTAAGTGATCCAGTCTCTGCAGTAGAATTTGATGGTCAATTGTGTCAAACGCCGCACTAAGATCTAATAAAACAAGAACAGAGACGAGTCCTTTGTCTGAAGCAATCAGAAGGTCATTTGTAATTTTAACTAGTGCTGTCTCAGTGCTATGATGCACTCTAAATCCTGACTGAAATTCCTCAAATAAATTATTATTATATAATATATTATTATTTGACAGCTGTAGTTTCTTGACAGAATAATATTTTAAATAAAAAACATGTAAAACAGCATGTACATGACAATGCCATTAAGTTAAAACTACCTCTAACTTGAATGGCCATCACATTAAAACATAAAGCATCAGTAAAGCATCAGTAATAATGATTCAATAATGTAATATGTACAATTAGAGCGAGCAATTTTTACCTAAAATAATGTATTTTTAAATTGTGGTATTGCTTCATCAAGGCAACTTAAATACAGGGATACTTCTTCTACAGCTGTATATAATTTTTAAAAAAAAATATATATAGGCCTACTTTTTATTTATGAACATTTTTTACGTTTAAGAACGACAGAAAAGAAAAAGGACGTCGAGGGATGTTTACAAAGGCATGACAGATTTTCCTAATTTAAAGTAAGGGTTCATATATGGTACATAGATAATCATGGACTCATTGGCTAAATAAACACACCATTTTCTCCACCGATTTCCTCCCCATTCTTCCTGAAGTCGAATTGAGTATATGTCATATGTTCCACAAGGTGTAAGTGTTTAACAGTATTAATATACTGTATATAATTTTTAGGTGTTTTTTGCGTGTTAAATTTAATAGCACATTTGAATTTTTTGTTTGCTGATAGAGCAGGCCAACATTCAGAAACCACAGAGTCAAATGGAAACCCTTTCAAACCATCACATAAACATCAGGTTGAACACTGCAGGTTTCTGTCACTGACTCACACAGTGAAATGTTAAAACAGGAACCACATATACTGTATGTTTTTCTTCCTGCCAGTAATAATGGAGGAAGCCGTGCTCTGAGCGACACGATGTCTTGGGGAGAGTTCATCGAGCTCCGTGACCTGAGGACGGACAGAGAGCAGATAGAGCTGACACATGGGACACAAACGCCCTGCTTCCCTCCACGCCTGGAGAGAACCAACGCCCTGAGGATCAGCCCGGGGAAGGTCCCAGACCTGCTGAGCAGGGTGGGCATCATCAGACTCCTGAGCAGCACCCAGGACCCCCAGCCTCTGGAGGAGAAGGGGGAGGGACACAACTTCCAGCCATGTAGCCACGCTCAGCCCACGTGGTGCGACCTATGTGGAGACTTCATCTGGGGACTGTACAAGCAGAGCCTGCGGTGTGTCAGTGAGTTGGCTTATGTGGGCTGTTTGCGTGCCTGAGTGTGTGCATGTGTGGCTGCCTTGGTGCATATGCATGATCAGAAATGAGACAAGACGGAGAGTAGAGGGAAATTTGGTTGTGAGAAAGATGCAGCCTCCAGTGTGGGTGCAGTCCAAAATAACCCTGTACTCAGCCTGGTGACACATAGAAATTATAACCTTGTCTGCTTGCTCTGCCATGCCATTAATGTGCTCCACGTCGTCGCTCGATGTTATCTAGCATGCAGTTGTTTAAGTGGTTTGGTGGTCTGATCATTATCTGATTGGGGTAGGCTAGAGACATTTATGCTCTAATTGCTCAAGACTCATCTTAGAGGTGCTTTCAACTTGAACTTCCTTCTCATCAAATGAAACCCCCTGAAATGTGGCTGCGGTTTGTTTAAAGCAGTGGTGTGAAGAAAAAAGGCTCCTTAACAGTAATCTGAATATGAAACTGCAGTCAAATCACAATTAAGCATCAACACAAACACTGATGACAATTATCAAGATATTGATCAAAGAAACAAATAGTCAGGCATTTATACAGAAACTGAATTCTGCATTCATGTGACAGGATCTTTATTTTTCAGCTCAACAGGTGCAGTATTGCCATATGTGCACTTGAAGACAAGTAGCATTTATTTATGTATTTATATACATGCGACACAAATGGGAGAGCTTAGTAAATGCAAAGGAAAGCCCACCTAGAGTAACTGACGTGACCATTAACAGCCAGAGGACATCACTGTCTTATAACTGCACTCTACAATAACACCACATGCATGTTCTCTGTTAATGATTTTGTCACATGCGTTTATGTGTGTGACTTCCTTCCCTTACAGATTGTAGATTCACGTGCCACTACCGCTGCCGTGCTCTGATCCAGTTGGACTGCAGCTGGGACCGAGGCTCTGCGGCCGACCAAACATGTGTTGTGGAGCACACCATAGAAACGGACACAAATGTGGTAAGGACCTCAGTGTCTTCTATCAGAAGTGGTAATAGTCACGGTTTATTTGCTTTTGAAGGCATCTTTAGCATCAAGAAGTTGCAACCACATTGTGCCACCGTGATTACCATTAAAAAAAAAAAAAACAGTGAGGAAACTGGATGCTTCCTCAAGCCTCTAATTTGATTGTCACATTGTGTGTTACCTGTAAATTCTGCTGGACTGTGTTAGGGAACAAAATCAGTTGTATAATGGCCAAAAATGGGAACCTCCATACATACATGACAGTAAAAACACACCCTTAATCCAGTTCCACTTACTGCAAACTGGGGAAGTTTGCTATTATTGAGAAACACAGAACATTGCAGGTAACACCTTTTGCAAGATCTGCTTCAGGTTGTTTAATTACTACAGTGAAACAAAGTTGAATAAAGAAATCAGATGACATTTTTAGTATGATGTACAATAAGATATGTTAATTTCAGTTTGTTAAAAGGCTTATGTATTGTACACGGCACAAATATAGACATGTACCATTCTTGTAGGCCGTAGAGAGCTGCAGGGATGACGTTTTTGGCCGGCAAACCTGGAAGTTACATCACACTGGTTCCCTCAACAAAAAGCGAGTGGTATTTTCCATTGGATTTTGGATTATTGCAGAAAACAAGCTCTGTGGCAAACAAAAGTTTTTGATATTAACACATTTTGTCAAGCAAATAACACCACTTTTACGATTTTTGAAGCATAACTGAAATCACCATAAGCAAAAAGCTAACGTTAGGCTGTAAACAAACTACACCACGGCTGCGTGACTTAAGTCTCAGCACTACTAAGCTTCCAACTTCTTCCACAAAAGCCGTTCACCATAGCATGACATGATCTAACCAGTGGTCAGTGCTCTTCCAGTTGCCAGTTTCACATCCTTTTCATTAGAACAGTTTGCAAAGGCACAAGTGTAAACACAACAAGGCCGTGTGCCATGTCCGTTCTTTTTAAAGACACTTAAAGCATCAAAATTATGAGCAGGGTATTTACTGATGTATGTGATGTTGTAGAACAAAATGTGAAAGTCTCTTAAGCTTGTGTTACCCACAGACCTTTCAGGTATCTAACCAAAACCACTCAAAAAATCCACTGACTTCAAGAAGAGGGAACCAGGGGTGCAAAAACACCAACTTGTTTCCAGGTTTTGGGACACACGTCTGCAGCACTCTATAGATTTATTTTTATGTTTTAGCCCTGTCTTTGTTAGTTTTAGAGAGACAGATGGAGACAAGGGTCTTAATGCTTTCTCAGCACATCAAGTCCTGGCTGCTGAACATCTTAAATCTCACTGTAAGAAGATGCCTGTGTGATTTTCTGCACCACAGTGTTAGTCATACAAAGGGGAGTCAAGGCTACGAGCCTGTAGTTGTTCAAGGCAGCAGGGTTTGGTCTCTTAGTAACGGGTTTTATTCCCTCTCTATCAAACACCTGTTGCTTATCAAAGGACGACTGGAATGTGAAAACTTCAGCAGGCTGTTCAGCAGAGTATGAACAGTATGTGAACATGGTTAGATACTGTTTGCTGTTGGGGGCTAAGATTGTGTGCACAGGCGTTTTGCACAACAGACTATTTGACTTAACATAGCAGGGAAAGCACAGGTGGAACTAATATACTGGCTGATGATGACTCTGTTAGAGTGGACCAGTAAGAGCTGCCAGTGAGTCAGCATGCAAAGCACCAGAGCTGTAATAAATGTTATTAACAACATCTGCCATGACCTAAAATATCTGCAATGAACATAACCCAAAGACAAAACAGACAACATAACAAAACAAAACAAAATATGCAAGACAAGTCCATTACCTTATTAGTTTTTACTGTAGCACTAACATGTGTCACCTTTGGTTTAGTTAGAGTTCAATGTTAGAAAGTAGAGCAGCTGGAGGGTGTTTGGGTGGAGCAGCTCACATGTGTGAACTCATTTCTTCACACTAGGAGGCTCAGAGTATTTCCTGCCAATACTCATACTGAAAGCCAAAAAGATATGACCAACTCCTCAGCATGTGTGAAAAACACTGAGTTTGTATTTTACAAACGTCTTCACCAGTTGTATGTGACCTTGTTTTTCATATGTTCATTAGTGTAATTACTTGACTTAATCTAAAGGGGTGCACTGCGGGTGGCATGGCTCAGATTAAAAAGGGAAAAACAGAATTGTTTATCTGTATCTAAATCATAAAGCTACTAAAAAAAGCCTTTCATCTCAGTTTTAAATGCTGCTCATTTTCATCAGCATTCCTGATTATAGTCTTCTGTAGCCAGACATGCCCTTCACAGTTTCACAGGGTGTCATTCATATTGCAAGTTTTTTTTTCCAACCAACTGTTCATAACTCCAAAATATTTTACTAATGATGATAAAAAATACAGAGATAAGCAGAAAATCATAAAAAAAACCCTGTCACATTTAAGAAGTGGGTGACAGATATTTTGTTTGGAAAGTGACTCACATGAATTATTAAAAGAGCTGTATGCGACATTCAGAGGATATCTACGGTTCTTTCAGCTTAAGGCAGGGGCGAAAATCCCATTTCATAGTTGGGGGGGACAATAAACAGTAAAATTTTAGAGAATAATTCCAGGGGGGGGACAAGGAAAAAAAGTTGTAGCCTGTCGTTTATACAGCATCTTTTACCGCAATTTGACGCTTTAATCTTCTCTCTATCTCTCCAACAGGCAGAGTGAATATCTATAGTTATGAGAAATGGCTTAACAACTAAACATTTCCTGCAATTAAACTGGTAAAATGGTTTATAAACAGTGTGCTGTCAGATCTGCCGCTGCGCACCTCACAACCGTGCATAATAGTCGTGCATAATGACCGCTCCTCATCCGTTAGACTGCGCGTCTTTCATGTTTGTCTCACTGACAGGTGGAGAGCCTACAGACAGGTACCCATTAGCTACGAGCCACTCCGCCACTGACTGCTCTTGTCCTGTCCTCTCCCTCTTCTTTCTCTCCTGTCCTCTCTGACTATCACTAAACTCTGAGCTTAATCATTAGCTTTTAGCTTAGCAGCACTCGTAATTGAGTAGGCTTTTGAACAATGCAGGAGAAATGTTGCAGACAGTTTATATTATCAGCCTGGGCCTGG